CCCCCCCCGCCCCCCTGTCCCCGAGAGTACCAAGAAAGCCCTGCAGCCACGTTCACATAGCTCCTGCAAGCCCCTCCCTGGGGCTGCCTCTACAGCAACTAAGTCCCAACAACCGACAGCACGGTACCTCAGAGGGACGGAAGCAATGTGAGTGGGAGAAGGGGCCACGGGAAGGTGTGCCTGGTGAAGGGGGAGCTTGGGGAACGGCCTGGAAGGCTAAGATGTTTTCATCTAGAAAATGCTGACCACACTGGTCCAAAGAGCGCGGGACATCTCTTTCCTAGAACACATCATGGATGTGGCCTCTCAAAGTGAGAAGAGAAACGGCCTTTTGCCACTGTTGTGATTTGCCCTTTTCCGCTCAAGCCTCTGCGGTCTGCAGAGGGAAGTTGCTGCGAGCGGCCTCAGGGCCGGGAGTGAAGTCTCATTCCCCACCCCAGGCTGGGTCTTTGCTGAGCCAGGGAGCGGCTAGGAAGTTGGGCAACTCCAGGGTTTGGCAGCTGCTGGCTCAGGGCAAAGGCCCAGCAGGCAGCGGGCTTCCCGGAGGGCCACCTGGACAGCTCGCTGGGCACCGCTGCCAGGTTGCTCATCTCGGGCCAGACGTCGGTTGGCCCTGGAGAGGGGCTCCGGGCAATGAGAGAACATGGCCCTCGCTCTCTGCCCAAATGGCAGGTGGATTCGGGCACAGGAGGAGGCCGGAGCCCTGTGTGCTGGTGGACACTCATCACAGGACATCTCACTTGTAAATCTGTGGGAAATCACACTCCTCCTGGGACCCCACAGGCAGGCACTCGGGTCCCCCTGTGATGGCCTGGAAGGAGCATGAGCAGCCCCCGCCCCCAGTCTCACTGTCACTGCTGGTCCCGCTGGGCAGAGTGAGGCTGGATCACATCCAAGTGCTGACTCAGATTCCCTTTTTCCTGGGGCACCTCGGGATCTGCCCGAGCCAGGCGGGTGCTGCCCCACTCCCTGCCCAAATCCAGAACTAATTTTGCAATGTCTGCTTCCCACAGAGACGCTGCTGGGGAAGTTGAGGACCCGAGGTGCTGAGTCTAGTGTGAGAACGTGGAAGAAATTCCCCCAAAAAAGCGGGGGTCCAGGGCCCAGAACTGAAGTCCCTCAGAGGAAGGGACCCCCAACCTGCTTCCCCTGCCTGGATCAATGCCCCTCTGCCTTCAAACCCCGCTGGGGACCGCAGCACACTCCTAGCACGGAGGTGCGTGGTCACAGGCTGTGGGACAGGTGCTAAGACCCACTCCCCCAGGAAGCCGGCCGTGCCTCTCCCGGCTTACCCACCCCTTACTGGCTGTGTGACCCAGAGGCCATCCCTTCCCCTCAGAGCCTCAGTTTCCTACTATTTAGTGGGTCTCACACAGCACAGGATGCTAAGGGCTGAGTGGCTGACAGTGTGTGAGGAGGCCAGCAATGCTGTGTCCCTGTCAACAAGAACCCTCGGCCCCCTTCCCTGGCCCAGGCTGGCCGAGCCCCAGCCCCGGAGTCCAGGCTCAGAGGTGGTCAGAACCCTGGGTCTCCAACAAGGAAAAAGTCCCATCTGAAACCCCTCACTGACCCCTGATTCCAGAACATGAGGAGAAAGCAAGGCTTTGAACTCCCCTTGCATTGTGCACATGGGAAACTGAGGCAGGGAGGGAGCAGGAAACCACCTGCAGGAACAGCCTGTAACCCTCGGCTCTTCCACCATCATCGTCACCTGTCCAGCCTCAGACCCACCCGTCCCCATCCCTGACCTGGCCCTGAGCCCGGCGAGGCCCATTAGCTTGCCTCTTCCCGGAGGGACCGCGAGGAGCACAAGAGAAAACGCCCAAAGGTGGCAGGGCCTGGGTTACCATCCTGATGCTGCCTGGCACTGGGATCCTGGTAAATCCTTCCTCTCCCCCGACCTCAGTCTGCCTGTTAGTGATACGGGGACAGAAGCAACTGCCCCGAGACCAGATGAACTTGGCCATGCAGGGGAGGGTCCCTCACCTGGAGGCCGGCCCCAGCCTGGTGACTCTCTCCGTACTTAGGATGGAAGGCTCTTCCAGAAACTCCAGTTGGGACAGTGTCCCTGTTATGGGGCCTGGGGGGCCGCAGAGGGGCAGCCTGGAGGGTGGGATCATATGGGCCTGAGGGCCCCACACCAGGACCCCTCTGCTGCTCCCACACTGCAGGTGGGCAGGGAATTGCAGGAGGTGGCCTGGGGCACAGCCGAGCTGGACTGACCTGAACACCATCCTTGGGCCTTGGCTTCCTCAGGTGGAGAACAGGACCCACTGCCTAGGGGCGGGGAGAGGTGGAGGGGATAACAGTGGGTGTGCCAGGGCTGTGTGCTCAGTAAACGGCAGTTCCTAGGCGTGAGGGTGTTATCGTTGGCTGCCATTTACCCAGATAAACTGAGGTCAGTAGACCTATTCTGCCGCCGGGCACTCTGGGGGTTGGGACAGGCACACACACGCATAACACATACCCAGCACCCACACATCTGTGCCACAAGAGCCTCTCGGTCAGCCCTGCAAGGGTTAGAAATCACAACTCTAATCTTCAGGCCAGGGACACACAAACCGGGCCTCAGTCTGGGCTGGAGGGAAGGAAGACAGGCCTGGCTCTGTGCCTCTCACCCTCAGGCTTGAAAGACCGAGGGACGGCTGCCCACACCACACCACATCACACGGCAGGCTGGCTGGCCACCGTTAGGGCAGAGCAGGCTGCCACCCCAAGCAGCCACACACAGAGCTCAGCCTAAGGAGATGTTCAGGGAAGGTCAGACATGTACCAGCTGCTCATGTGTCCCCAGACCTGTGTCCGACCTGTGTCCACTTCCTCCCACCACTGGCCAGCAGGGCCTGGGCACCTGGATAACCCCCTGCTAATGGCTCACACTCACCTTCTGCCCCCCGACGGGGCGGGAGCCTGCTAGGCAGACGGCCAGGAGGCAGAGCAGGAGGAGGCCCCGGGGCCCTGCCATGGACAGCGGTGGCTGGCAGGCACACTGTCCAGGACAGAGCTGGGGCAGCCTGGGAGGGGAATGAGCTCTGGGAGGCAGGCACGGGGCGGGCAAGTGGGATGGGGGCGGGCACTCGCTTTAAAAGCAGCCTCGAGGCCCCGCCAGCTCACCCCCACAGGAACCCGCCAGGATTTCCTCCTGCCTATCAGCAGCCTGCAGGCGGAAGGGAAGGTGCTGGCTACTGACCCCTGCATGGTTGGCCTAGGCCCTGCTGGGGCTTCCTGGCCCCGGGACCTTCTCCTGGCACCACAGTCTCCAAGTCCACCATTAGCCACGAACCTGGGGTCTATCAGAGGCTGAGAAACAAATCCAAATGCACATGCACACCACTCTCCACCCCAAGCGTCTGCAGAGGGCCTGGGGGATTCAGCCCCTGAATCAGGTTTATGTGCGTCAACCTTTCCAACTGCCGAGGGCAGGAGCAGGCCTCGGACACCCTGCCAGGCTCTGTGCCAAGTGGACAGTAGACCGCTCCTCCTCTCACCTGCCCCAGCTACCCCTCCGACTAGTCCAGCCCCAGCCTTATCCCTACCCCTCCCTTCTCCCCCCAAGAGCCTCTGCATTGCTCTGCCTCCCGATTCATCCAGCTGTTCTCCGCTCTGGAGCCCTGCTCTGCACACCTGTCCACGCCAGGCCGGCCTCCCTGACCTCTGCGGCTCTCCCTCACTCTGTCCCAGCTACGTCAAGCAGCTGTCTTGCTGCTATCACTCCAGACCTACTCTCAGGGAATGACCTCAAGGTCCAGTCTTAGCTAAAAGGTCACCAGCCTTCATCTCCTCATAGCACTGGCCACAAGCTGACCCTGGTTTATTTCATTTTTTGTCCCCTGCTGGAATGTTATGGGAGAACAGGGACAGGATCTGATTGGTTACACAGCAGAAGCTCAATACAGATTGTGGCACAAATGAATGAATGAATGAATGAATGAATGATGGTGGCCACTTCCATTATCCCTGTTACTGGTGGGGAAACTGAGGCTCAGAGGGGGTTAGGTAACTTGTCTAAGGAAGATCAAATCCCACGACTGCTGCCCAAAGAGCGTGCCCACCCGACACTGTACAGCCTCTCCCAGTAGGTCAAGTCCTCACTGGGCCAGGCTAGTCAGCTGTTAACATGTTGGGCTGTGGGGCCTGGGACAGTAGCCCAGGTGGCGAGGCCTCCGTGTGCCATACCTGGGAATGGTGCACCTTGCCTCTGGGATCACTGTCCTGTTTACAGAGGACTGAGATAAAAGAGGCAGGTGGCCATCTGTAAATGCCTTTGATAATGGCCTGAATGAGGGAAGCCTTGTCCCCTGCCCCCTCCTACTCATCCTCAGCAGGCTCCCACTCCCCTACCAGCTGGTGGGGATACTGGCCGGTCTGTGATCTGGCTGAGGAGGTTCAGTGGGGAGACCCTTTAGTGGCTCCCCCAACACCCCATCTTCCTAAGGGTGATGGGTCCGCTAGGCCAGGATCCCCAACTGCTGGCACCAAGGAAAACAGAGCAAAAGCAGGCCTGGGAGCCAGGTTGGCCGTTCCTCCCTCATCTCCTCCCTGGTCCTCCCCAAATGGCCCTGCACCTTGGGGACTGAGGCTTCTGATGGGACCAGGATGGGGGGGGGGGGGGCAGTGGGCTTAAGGGCCTGCTCTGGAGTAGGCAGAAATGAGTTAAGGTGGGGCACAGGGGCGGGTCCCAAAGAAGTCCTAGGTTTTACCTCAGCAGGCTCCCTGAGAATACCACTTTCAGGACACGAGCAGACGCAGATGGGCATGGGTCTCTTCTCCATGATCCCACCTGGGCCAGCTCCCACAGGCCTGGAGAAGGCAGAAGGGCAGTGAGCCTGTGTGCCAGCCATGCCCGGGGGTTCCGTACTCGCTTAACTGAGGCTCATGGTTCAGCCACAGTCCAGCATAGCCCTGTCCATAGGCCCCTCGCACTGCCCCCCCAGCCTCTGGTCCCAGGAGAGCTGCTCTCTTTGCCGTCACCCCCTCTGCCTCTCCTCCCTCATTCCTTTCCCCTAATACCTCACCTTCCTGCGTCTCTAAAGGACCCTCTCTCCCTCAGGCATGTCCTGGGCCAATGCCCTGCTGGAACCCCAGTGGACTCTGAAATAAAAGACCCAGAGAGTGTCACACTCTACTTTATTGGAATAGAGAAAATAGGCAATAGGAGCCACACTCGGTGCTGGCAGCTCCAGGTCCCCTGCTCCCATCCCACAGCCCCAAGGCCTGGGGGCTCCCGCCCCCACGGGGCTCTCCTGCTTGTCTGGACCAGGAGAAAGCAGCCTTCACTTAGGAAAACTGCACAGGGTGGGAACTTCCAATATGCACTTTGCTGCCGGCTCAATGATAAGCAGCAAACCCTGACAACAGCAACATCAACGAGACTGGACTTGACATTTCAGAAGAAGACGTGTAAGGGAATAGAGGACTCACGACACCTCGTGTTCACAACAGTCCTACAACAGAAGCTGGGACACTGCTGCGCCTGCCACGCACCACCAGGGGCAGGCAACAGATCCACGGGAGGCCGACGGCACAGGAGGCCCTGGAGGAGCCGGCACTGTCACTCCCGGGACTAGAAAGAATCAACTGAACATGTATGTTCACATTCTGTGGGAGGACAGTCAAATGAAGGTACCAAAAGGAGGAGAAATCATTTTTTTAAAAAAAGAAAGCCTGCCTCCCCACACTGAATGGACGCCTATGCTGGACACGAAGGGCCCTGGGCTAGCCAGTGAGCTCCACAGGCAGCTCCCGGCCGCACAGGGCCTCCCACTGGCGGGCCAAGAGCGAGATGAGCTTCTCTCGGCTCTCGGCGCTGGGGACAAACACCTGCCACTGGACCTCGCGGCCCTGGCCGGCTCTGGCTAGGCCATCTGGTACCTCCCCAAAGTGGTCCAGGGTGACGTTGCCCATGAGGTCGTGGCCTTGCACATCGTCAAAGACGAGGGTGAGAGCCTGCGGGTAGGTCTGGTAGCCCATGAGCACACGGTCCAAGTCCCGGACGCGGCGGCCATCGTCTAGCCGGTACCGGTCCCTCTGTGGCGGCTCTTTGGCAAACTCGGGCAGCGGGTAGTGGACAAAGTCCTCGTCCAGGAGGAAGATCTCGGCACTGGTGAGCAGGAGCGTTTTGGGGCGCAGTGTGCCCCTGCAGCGCCCAGGTGGCGGTGTGCCCACCTGGAAGGCCTGCACATACAGCAGGATGCTGAGGGCCGGTGACTTCCCTGGGTCCGCCATTGTCTGGGCCACGGTGAACGTCAGGTCCCCGACCTCCTCCTCACTGGGGTAGGTGAACTTGACACGGCTGGCGTGGACTAGCTCGTAGTTCTCCATCTTCCCTGTAGAGAGAGATGCCCACTGGGCTGGAGCTGGAACTGTGGTGTGTTACGAGTGTCAGTGGCCACAGGCCACCAAAGGCAGGCAGGAGCACTCCGAGCCCCAATGCCCAGGCAGAGACCCACAGACCAGCAGCCCAGAGCAGGTGTGTCTACCAGATGGTTAGCGGTTTGCTGGGATGGAGACTCTGCCATGGGAAACCCTAGCTGGCTGAGCAGGACGAGATAAAGTGAGTAAGAGAGTGCTCCGGGCGTGCTGTACCCTCGGGGCTGGTGAGGCCAGATGGCCTGTCTACAGCTTGAGCGGGGCGGGTACCTGTGGTCTTGTTCCCAAACTCAGAGTAGAAGTCCTTGTCCACAGGCTCAGGTGAGGGCGTGCGTTCCAGGGAGGAGAGCACGGCCATGAGGTGCTGAAGGAAGCTGTGTGTCAGGTAGCTGTCCCGAGTCAAGCACGTCACCACCTGCATCGGGGAGGAGCCTGTGGGAGAAGGGGCTGGTCACGGTTACAGGCAGCTGCTCCCAGCCCTGTCCTTGCTGCTGGAGTGACCTCCAGTCTCTAGCAGGTCAGCCTGGACCTGGAGACCACACAGCCAGGGCCAAGGCCCACGTGGGAAAGCATCATGGGGCCTCAACAGAAGACTACTTCTCAGGCCGGAAAGGCTGTG